GGCAGCAGCGGCGGGCGCCACCTCGAAACGGCCGCTTTGAAATTGATCGGGCCTGTGCGAAACCCGCCACCCCAAAAACCTGCAGTGTCTTGTGTCCGGACCTCTAGGCCCTGTCCGGTGGGGTGAAACGACACTGAAAAATCACCCCGTCAGGACCCGATGAACGTCCTGGGCCGGCCCCTTTTTTTTCTTTTTTTTTGCCCCAGGGGCCTCCGTCCGGACATAAGGACCGGACACCGGACACCGGACTGTCTGGAACCCGGTCCGGACGTCCGGACGGTTACCATGGACAGAAGTACACTAGAAGAGCTTTGTTCCACTTGCAAAGAAGATAGAGGACCTTTTCCACTGCTCCTTCAGATGCCCCAGAATACAACCCCTATGGCAAAGAATCAGGATAATTTGGGAAAAAATAACCACCGTAGAATTCACAAACAATCTCGTACTACTACTACTAGGCTTCAACAGTCCGGAAGATTGGACGTACTTAGAAACTGAAGTTACTAAACTATTCCAAATCCTTAGGAAAGCCACTCTTTGGACCATTTGGAGGAAGAGATGCCAAGAAACAATAGAGAAACAAACAAAGCACATCCAGGAAGCTTGGAGTCTATTACAACAAGAAGTCGAAACAGAATACTGGACATTGTGGCGCAAAGTGAGAAGGAAAATGAGAAGGACGAGATCAAAGCAAAAGAACACAAAAACAACTTCGGAATTAACTATCTGGCAAAGGGTAAAATCGCAAAGGTCAAAGGACATAGTCTGATCTTAACACTATGGGGAGAAACACAAACACATCACAAGCACTATCCCACTCACTCGTCAGCCCCTGAATCCACTTATAGCCACATGAGCTCCTCTTAGAGAAGACCAATAAAGGAATTGCCCTAGTAAATCGCAGGCTAGTAAGTTAACTGAGTATATCCTTGAAAACTCACCCGCCAACTGGACCAAACAACCCCCCCAGCAGCACAACTCTCGGACGACAGGTCGATAAAAATCTATATTAACAGATCGCAAGCCATACCGCAAACTCCCACAGACCTCTTCGCTAACTCAAGGAACCAAACAGGCCCAATCCCTCCTCAAACCGCCCATAACCCCCATAGCCGCCCCACACATGACTACTCCTAGTATCGCCACCTGAACCACCCGGAACCCAACCCTTGCCACCCCATCCACGAAGAATCACACCTGAACACAGCAACCCCAACCCACAACCCAGACACACAATTGTCTTTCATTAGCACTTTTCCAAACCAGTAAAGCAACTCCAATCCCACCCTACAAATAATTCCCAAAACGGCACTTCCCTCTAGTAACGGGATTAACACCTAGGGAATAGATCATGGGCCTTAGGAAGAGATGACAAACAGATTTACAATAGACCAGCCAAAATAGCTAAGTTTGAAGGTTAATACAAATTAGAGCAGGCTGTTAAAGTATCTTAAGAAGGGAGGCTAGATTTTGAACCCAGACACAGGCACTAGCAACTAGATCAGAGAACAGTCAGATTCCTCTAAGCCAGATTGCCAAGGGTCAAGTCTGTAGTTCTAGTACTTAAAGGGTTTCAGACAGTCAAGTAACTGAGAGGAACAGGTCAGACAAGTCCCAACTAAGCAAGTCAACACAGTCCACAAACCGTTTAGTCCCCAAGTCTTAAATCTAAATCAGGCTAACTTAGGCAGGGGTAAAGGGCGGTACATCCTTCCGGAGTGAAGTAATCAATGCCATCCCTCGGGCCTCCACACCATAAGGGGGAGGAGCGTTGAGCGAGTTATTATTGTAACCCTTTCTGACTGGCTGGTGGAAAAGGAACCGGACTTTTGCTCCCCAGACTGGAGAAGGACCCAGAGCCCTAAGGTTCTGTTTATACTGTTTGTCTTGGTAAGGCACTGTATTTTGTTTGTTTTGAAGGGGATAGCCCCTGGCGTTATTGTATTCATCTGAGTCCATCAACGTTCCAAGTTCAAACCATGATCTATTTACTAAAAGTTACAAGTGTGTACCATTTGGCCACTGTTATATTTGTCAGCCAGTAAAAGATAACTTAAAGAGTCCATATGGTATCCTTGTCGAGACAGTCAATGATTTAAAAATCTTCACTGAGAACTTGTGTTCGATCCTGAAACAACCTTTTGCCTGTGCTTCACTTGGTTTGGATTATGCCTTCCCTAAATGAATCACTGTTTTCTTGAGCAGTGTTGCAAATAGACCATAAGAATGCGAATGCATACTTCAACAGAGGCTCTGCATACGACAGCTTGGGAGATTTTGACAGAGCCATTGCTGACTACACACATGCCCTTGAACTGGATATGGCCCAGTCTGGGTAAGTCGCAGCAGATTTGTCTCACTATCCAAGACCGTTCTATTGGAATGGGTAAACTTTGGACCCCTCACCTTTTACATTGAGAAAGTCAGACCAAAAGTAGCTCCGCGTGTCTTGGTGGCCAGAAAAGCACCCATGAAGGCACGCTGGGTGTCAAGAAGGTCACCCTTCTAAGGTTCCTTTCAGGCTTGTCTCATATCTATTGCTGTGCTGCTACAGAGAACAGTGTGAATGAAAATTTGAAATTCCAATCGACTACAAGAGGTTTGAGTCCCACTATTTACTACAACATGTCCTAAATGAGGCAGGAAAGGACGGAATGACAGAAGCACAAAACAAGGGGTACAAGCAGACTCCAAAGGTAAGGACAGGGATCTGGAGTTACTGGGATGGTCTTTCACTTTGTATGATAACTTTTTTCAAGAGGGGTTTTCGGCCAGCCAACGATTGCTTAGTTAGTCTCACCCGACTGCCGACAGATTCGTTCTGCTCAAGTATGCAATGTGCTCTTTTGAGTCCATCGATTTAGGATCCTTCCCGTCTGCTGACTGTGTACACAACCAGACCAGCGCTGCGCTGTGCGCCTATTGCTAGGCTGCTGCTGTAAATAAAGGTACTACTGTCTCACGACGTTCTAATTGTTATGTTGGCCAGTAGGCCGCTCGAGCCTGTTGTTGCTCAGAATACATACACTAGTAGCACTCTATGTATCTCCACATAGCACGGACTCTACCTTCAACTTGTTTCAAGGCAACTATACTAACCGCCTGAAGTTGTTTCACATATCGTCTCTGAGGATCCTAATTGAGCGAGCTCTAATTTCAATTTTCCAGCTAAAAGCTTGTAAAACTGTGTTAGTACCCAGGCGGCCTGGCTGGGGGAAGGTCGCCCGGGTACCCTCCAGGGCGGGCCCGGACCGGGCAGGGTCCCGGGCAATCCCAGCGCATAATATTTAAAAAAATAGAAAAAAAAATCCAAAAAAAAGTCCCCCCAAAAAAAATGTTGTGTAAAATTGCAATACAAACGACTTTTGGCTGATGGCCACCTCGGAATTCCTTGTTAATTTCAAGATAGAAATAAATGAGAAAACAGGAGTCCAAATGTACCCTTTTAAGCCCTTTAGTCACTGTTTATAAACCCCAGCCCCCCCTGGATGACCCATCACCACAACCGAAGTTAAGACCAGATTCTGACTGCTTAGGCCAAGCGCAATCCTGGCCTGAAGTCTTCTTTTTTTGGGGGGATCCTTGCCTCTTTTTTGACCCGTCTGGTTTTGTCGGGCGACCCCCCCTCTGCCCAACTGGCCCGAGCGTGCCTGGCCGAGCGATGGCCCAACATCGTAGGAAACATCAGAAAGATGGATATCAGCATAGAAACATGTATTGATGTACCAAATTGGCTAATACTAGAAGGTTGCAATTTACAGAGAATATCATTATTGGTATATTTATGAGACCTATACAAACACAAAGAGAAGCTACATCTGCAGAAAAGAATAGAAAATGTAGTGCACCTGAACATTGTTTTCTCAGTTGAAAACAAAGTGGCGAACGGGTGCGTAACGCGTGGGAATCTACCAAACAGTTTGGGAAAAATCCCAAACAGTCTTAAATTAAATAAACAGTTTGGGAAAACAAGGCGACCGCAAGAGCGGGAGGCATGAAGGAGGCTGGAGGAATGGGAGAAGAATCGAGAAATCGTTCGGGAATTTCAAAAGCGCCCAAAAGCAGAAAAACAATTCCGTGTTTGCATTTCTGGCAATTTATTTCGATAGGATGAGCAAAATCGACTGAATCCCCGCTAGAACATGGAAATATATACTTGTTTTTGTTTGTTTGTTTCTGTGTGTGTGTGTGTGTGTGTGTGTGTGTGTGTGTGTGTGTGTGTGTGTGTAAAGCAAGACATTTGGCAAAGAAACAAAAGAACGACCCGTGAAAACGGGAACCACACAGTGTATATTCGTCCTACAGAGCATTGAATCACGGACCAGCATTTAGTTCATCCTGACATTCATCCGAATCGGTCACCATAGCATGCATCAGCATTTGCAAAGGGACAAGGAGAGTTGGGAGAAAAAAAGGAATGAGAGAGATAGTGGATGAGAGGAGGGACCACAACATGCATCAGCATTTGCAAAGGGATAAGGAGGGTAGGGAGAAGGAATGAGAGAGATAGTGGATGAGAGAAAAGAGAGAGAGAGAGAGAGGAGAGTGAAAGAGTGGTATGGATGAAGGATGACAGCCCCTGGATCTGGTAGATTGATTCCTACTCGGAGAAGGGGAGGGAGGCGCGCCCCTGAAGCGCTTTTCGCCATCTGCGCCCATCGAACAGCTCATCAGAGGGTGGTAGGACGAGAGGTCCAATCTCTGGAGAGGAGGAGGGGGGAAGAAAAAGAAGGGGGGAAATAGGAGTAATCAAAGTTGGGCGAGAAGTGGAAAGTAAGAGGAGAGGGGTATGGAGAGATGGAGAGGGGAGTGAGGCTTGTGTGATTTGGGGTTGGGAAAGTGAACGCGTGCACGGGAAAGGGAGGGAAAGAAAAGAGGGGAGGGGGGAAGAAAGATGTGTGTAGAAAGGAGAGGAGGGAGAGTATGAAAAGGGGGATGGGGTTTAGTGAGTCTGGAAGAAAGACGGACGGGAGTTGTGTTTTTTTTTTTTGTTTTGTGGGAGGAAAGGGTGAGGGGGGGAAGGAGGAACTCACCACATATGCATTGATCTCAGCATCAGAGATTGCATCGGCACTATTGGGGGCCATGGTATCTCTTGTGCAGTTGAGCGACGATGTGCTCGATAATCGATGGCACGCTTCAAGCTGGTGAGTGTGGCCTTGCAGTCGTGATGTGCCGGTGCCAGACCGCAGGTTTCTTCACAAGGAAGCAGCAGGAGGATGTGCGTATCAGTCTTTCTTTGAGGGTGTAGCAGAAGGGTGTACTTCGGAGAGTACGCTGCAGCTGATCCAGCTTGCAGAGAGTAGGTGGCATAGCTTGTGCTCAGAGGAGAACTCTGATCGCGAGTGAAGGATAAGGCGAGGAGGAAAGGTCTAATAAGTACGATCATGATGTGAGCAGTGAGCGGGATCTGGGGTGGAGAGTGAGTGAGAGGATAACGCACAGTCGACATAAAGTTCACAACAGAGAAAGCCGAAAAAAAGACAAAGTGGAAAAATGATAGTGTATATTTCGATATTCTAGTGAAAGATTCATTCGATTTTGCTCATCCTAT